CCTCATCCAGGTCGCTAATGAAGATGTTGAACAGCACCGGCCCTAGGACCGAGCCCTGGGGGACTCTGCTGCCCACACCCTCCCAGGTCAATGCTAGCCGTATCCTTCTTGAAGTGCAGTGTCCAGAACTGGATGCAGTACTCCAATGTGGCCTGACCAATATCACATAGAGGGGGAGAATCACCTCCCTGGACCTGCTTGTGATGCATCTGTAGATGCATGACAAGGTGCGGTTAGCTTTACTGACTGCTTCCTTGCATTGGCTGCTCATGTCCATCTCGGAGTCAACAATGACTTCAAGATCCCTTTCTGCCACACGTTGACAAGAAGGGAGTTCCCCAGCCTGTAGGTGTGTTGCAGGTTCCTTCTCCCTAGATGCAGCACCTTGCACTTGTCTGAGTTGAATTCCGTCCTATTCTCATCTGTCCACCTCTGTAACCTGTCTAGATCTAGCTGGATTCTGTCCCTCCCCTCCAGCATGCCCGCCTTGCCCCACAACTTGGTGTCATCAGCGAATTTGGACAGCGTGCTTTCCACACCCACATCCAGATTGGTGATGAAAAGTACAGGCCCCAGGACTGAGCCCTGGGGGACTCCACTGCCCACCTCTCTCCAGGTTGAAAACAACCCTTCCACCACCACTCTCTGGGTGCGACCATCTACCCAATGTGCCACCCATCTGACTGTGTAGGCATCAATGCCGCAGTCACCTAGTTTTTTTTAAGAGAATGTGGTGGGAAACCATGTCAAAGGCCTTCTTAAAGTCCAGGAAGATGACATCCACCCTGACACCCTCGTCCAGGGACTTTGTGACCTGATCATAAAAAGAAACCAGGTTAGTCAGGCAGGACCTGCCCTCAATGAACCCATGTTGGTTGCCCCTGAGCATTACCTCCCCTGCTGGGCCCTTGCAGATGTGCTCCTTGATAATTTTCTCAAAGGTCTTCCCAAGGACTAAGATAAGACTGACTGGCCTATCATTGCCAGGGTCCTCCTTTCTCCCCTTGTAAGTGGGGACCACATTGGCCCTTTTCCAATCCTCTGGTACCTGGGCAGAGCCTCACAAGCACTCATAGAGCTGTGGGAGAAGATGAGCTGTGAAGAAATGAGCATGGTTGTGTGGTATGTGGTGCTGCAAACACGTGCAGTTTTCTCCACGCTGCAAGAGCACACTGCCCAAGCATGTGCTGCTCCATTTTATTTCATTTTTCTGCGGGTTTTTTTTGACCCCGGACAACCATGGGGGGGGGGGGAACTGGCACAGCGAATGCTCAGGCAGCATGCACTGCTGAAAAGTGGAGCCAGGCCACCCGGAG